GATAAAACTTAGACAGTAATATTTAATGTTCCTTCAAACATAAAAGATTTGATAAAGTTTTTAATTGCGACCCCTGGCCTTATGTAAGTTGAAAAACCCCTTCTCAAATTCAGTTACTATAGAAGCAATATTTTAAATAAAAAAAGTGATAGTTTAACGTTTATAATTATTTCTAAAAAGTAACTTTTTTAATGTTTTTTGTAAGTACTGAATTTTTTAATGCAAATTTTTGGAATAAGATAGTGTTTTAGCCAAGAAATTCTCTGATATGTCTCTGATCACATTAAAATAGAATTTTAATTCAGGATAACAAATACTCTAGTCTAGTCCATAGTTGGGAAACGTGTGACTTCCGGGATTTTAGTCAGTTGCATTCAGCATGCGCATTAATTAATACGTAAATTATATAGATTACGGCAATGTGAAAATTGATATAGTTGAATAATTTATAACTTAGTTCTTTCATAAACTTATAACATATATACGTATTATTCTTATACGACACTATAAACTCGGGTATCTATCATTAATTTTATTAAGCTGTCTTTTGTAATAAATTACGTAGTGTTAAATAATTAGTTGAATGTTAAGTATTTATTTAGATTTGTTTTATTAATTTGTCTTAAGTTAAAACTTAAGTAGTGTTAAATAATTAGTTAAACGCTAAGAATTTATTTTGATAGGTTGTCTTAAGTGATAATTTAAGTAGTATTAAATAATTAGTTAAATGTTAAGTATTTATTTAGATTCGCGATCGTAACGCTTGAATACGCCCTCTAGCGGAGACTGAAAATATCAGGCATTTATTTATTAACTCCTTGGGGACGGGTGATTCGTAAAAGCATTCGTACAAAATCAGAATGTAAATAAATAAAAAACGGTAGCTTAAACGTAGGCGTTGCTAATTTGACAGACTTACTTTGCTTTTACTTTAATTATTGTCAGTTTAATCATATATATAATCAATGTTAGTTCAAAATGTAACGGAATAATTTTATTTTGAGCAAAAGTAATGATTAATTAAATAAATCAAACAATTATAACCCTGCCTACAAATAAACTGCTAAAGAACTACTTTGGTTACCAGTTTTATCTTTTAACCCTGATTGATATGGTGTTATGCGGACATTCGTTAAAATTCCAATAAACTAAAAGGAATATTTAATAAAAAATAGCTAATATTAATATATTCAATTAAACTTTAGTAGTCATTACTTTTTGCATTATTGGTCGCACGTGGGAATTCTAGTGTAAAGGATAGAGTAATATTTATGAGCGATTTGATTATCTATCATAAGATATTTATTAACAGAGGAATATATTAGTCATCACATTTGTCAACTTCCGTCGACATCTTATAATATTCTATTAGTAAATGGCGCTGATATTCGTTGAAAGATTTAGTTAATATAGAAACTATTTTTTAAATAAAAAAAGTGGTAGTTTAACATTTACAGTTGTTTAAAAAATTATTTCTTTTGATAATTTTTCAACGTACTGTATTTTTGAATGCAAATTCTTGGAATAAGTCTTTTGACAAAGAAATGACATTAAAATAAAATATATGCCTCTGATGACGTTAGAATAAAATTTTAATCCAGGATAACAAATACTCTAGTCATTATCTATGACCTCCGAGATTTTATTGAGTTGCGTTCAGCACTTGCATTAATTAATATGCATTTATATAAATTACGACAATATGAAAATTGATATAGTTGAAAAATTTATAACTTAGTTCTTTCATAAAGTTTTAGCATACATACGTATTTTCTTATGCGACACCATAAACTCGGGTATCTATTATAAATTTTGTCAAGCTGTATTTAGTAATAACTTAAGTAGCTTTAAAAAATTAGTTAAACGTTAAGTATTTATTTAGATTCATTTTATGAGGTTGTCTTAAGTATTTTTAAGTAGTATTAAATAATTAGTTACCTTGAGATATTTAGAAATTCTGAAGATTCTTTTTAGTAGGGAAGTGAGTTAATCGTTGTAAATATGTGTTTATAAATATACTTTTTTATATGTTTGGATCACCTAAATTTTTTCTTATGGAATGAAATCAAGGTAGCTTATAAATGAATGTATTACTGAGTCTGTCAACAGGTGGCGCTACTAAGAAATTTCGAAAACAATATTTTCAAAATCTATCAACAGACAGCAATGCCGTCTGTTGATGAATTTTATTACTATCTCTGAAATTCGATCAGAATAATAAATTGCTTCCAAAGCAGAACGTAACAAACCTCCAATTTCTTACTTTCTTTTTTTCCCTCTTTTCTCAAATAGTTTATTATTTTTGGGATACCAGGTAATACGGATACACATGTATTGTACAATTACAAAGAAACTATACAACATTCTCAATTATGTATTTATTGTGCTTTGTTTAAAAACTTTTAAAAAATACAAACAAACTCACAGTAAAGAATAACGCAATCCATATCACACAGGTTCCTTTATACAATGGCATAGCCATGTTTGTTCTAGTTTATTTGACAGTGTAGAAAGACAAAGTTATTTTTATAAAAATAGATACTCTTCGAGAAATTATTACAAAATATATGTAGCACCAAACATATGAATAATAAAAATACTAAATATACAGAGTAAACAAAATGATTAAAATCTTTTTTATTTTTTGAAATCAATAAGAACAATACGTATAGGGTGTAACGCAATCACCTCCTTTAATATATATTTTTAGAACTCTGGTCAAAAAAGTGTATAGAATTACACATTAGGGATCAAAAATCAATATTTTGGTGTCGAAACGGAAAAATAAATAAAATGACCGACGAATCACTTCTGAAGAAAGTCAGTTTTATCGAAAAGTCCTCCACGAAAGCTGCTATTTCCCGATGCTTGATCCAGGAGTTCCCTTGTCTTCCGGGTTGCGTTCAAAATTATAATGCCATGGAGTTTAATATTGAAAGTCGTCACTCAGAATTAGGCCGGTTGTCCAACGCCGGTTATAAAATAAAATAAAATCGTTTCCTTGTTACTTTGACATTAATTTGCAACCTGTAAAGTATAATTTTTTGTGTGCTTAATTTAAATAGTTCTTAATATATATATCAAAGGCGGTAGTTATGGAACACCCCGTACAAATAAAAACAGTTATACAATAATAAATTGATAACGCTATTTAGCCTATTACTGTTTACATAGTTGACCCTGCATCAAATCCAAAGAATGAATCACATTTTTTAAGGTGTTAAAAAATAAGTCTAAGTTGTTAAATAAGCATTGATATACAGGCGAATAAATTAGAATTTAGGATAAATTTAATATTTAATAGAGACTTATATAATATATCACTTGCATTAATAGTCTGTCAATATTGTAGATTTTAAGCATTATAAAATAAAATATATTGGATAAAAAAAAACAGTAAAATATAAAGTTGAAAAATAATAATAATATTCAATAGTCTACAAATATTATCAGACTTTTTCATTATGCTTAGTAAATCCATCCCAATCATAAGAGAATAACCAGTAAAATATAGCACAGGAAATATGATTGGCACTATACAAAAGATTTCTGGTAAAAAGATTGGCACTTGTGAATTCACGGTAGTAAAAGATTTTTTTTTCTCTTTAAAATAAAAAGAGCTTTTACCAGTATTTAAGTATTAACATATGGCACAGTATCCTTTTTTAAGTAAAAAGGCATAACATTTTGCTGTTCAAAAAAGTACTAAACTTTTTTATACATCATGTACCGACAAAGTTCCATGGAGCTAATTTTCTGTGAAAATATTAAAAGTGTTAGTAATCATAAAACAGTTCAGTAGTTTTCCCTAGAAATTTTCAAATGCAAAATAAGACATTATATCAATGCTTTGAAAGTTTTTTTTCGCCTAACAGTAAAAAATAATAATAATACATTAAAAAAAAATATTTAAGCTCCGAAAAGATTCAAACTTATTAAAAGTAAATTACTTCCGTTACTAGAAAATAACACCTGTTTTAAACGCATAGGTAAAAAATAGCTTTTAACTGTCTTTAACGCAATAGTATTAGCTATAACATTCTTACCAAAATGTAATAATAATGCTTTTTAAAATTATTTAAAACAGATTAACCAAATTATTTGACAGCTAAAAAAATACCAAAGTTCAATTTTATTAAATGAATTAAAATATATAAATGAACTCAATTTTTGTACATTAAAAAACTGCTAGTTAATTCGCAGAATAGTTATGAAAACTAAAAATACCGATTAGCCATCTAAGATAGTACATAATTATAATATTTTTAACATTGATTGTCAATATAGATCTAGAACTTTCAGGTAGTATCTCATATGTTTAATTGTTTATCCACGAGTAGTTATCACGTGTTAAATTGTTCTCAGCTTGCTCTGTAGTAACTTCGCACAAAGCATGAATTCTACTTGGAAGTACTAAAATACTCCCATATCAAACGATGTACTTATGTTTTTGTAATATCGATGTACTTAAAGTTATTATAGCTTCACATATAATATCCAATTAGTGAAAATATTTAGTCGTAAAAGTGGAGATAATTCCGTATCATGATCTGTTACGTCATCTACAATCGCCTAATAGATTTTAAACTTACAATTTAAAAAAAAAAAAATAACAGGCAGAANAAAAAAAAAAATTGCTAGGTGGGTGGCTACAAGTTTTACCCTTCGAGTTAGTCCCCTTCTGGGGGCGAGTTACCAAGACTCGGCGATTATTTTGGCATAGATCACGATACGGAAATCTTTCTCAAAAACTTAATGCACACATGTTGTTTGTTTACAAATGGAATATTTGAACAGCATACAGAGAGAAAAAAACAATCTTGCCCAATTAAAAATTACAATAAAGAAAAGGTCAAAAAAAATATTACAAAAAATATGTACACTTAAAAAAATACAATTTATTCCATCTTCATTGCTGGTATATTACGCAGAAAATATTTAGAAAACGTAGCTTAACGACAACCAGACAAAAAACAATGTTTTTTTTTCTTTCTTCTTTCTTTTTGTTTGAACTATCTTCCAAGTCATTGAAATTCAATTCCACGTGAAAGGAAAAAAAAAAAAAGCTGTGAGCTTCAACATAAGTCTCGAGATTTCTTTTTTTAAAATTCCATTCAGACCACACCCGTTTGTTTTCTTTTTCACAAAAACGCTCTCAAGTTACAATTAAATGACGAGCATATTTATCAAGCGATGAAAGGGTTCCGTTGTTTCAGATGCATTTCATTTGTTTTTCGGCAGGTGGCGCTTCATATGCAAAGCAAGATGATCTGATCGGGCGAATGAACGATCACATACTTTACATTTGAAAGGTTTTGATCCTGTGTGCTTTCTGTAATGGCGAGTTAATTCATCTGACCTAGCAAATCGCCAGTCGCATGTTTCCCAAGTGCAGCGATAAGGTTTCTCTCCTAGAAAAAAAGAATTTTTTAATAATAATAAACAGAAAAAAAATGAACTAAAATAAGAAGCTTCCATTCAGAGAAGTGAACGGAAATTTCTAGTTTAATAGAAGTAGACATGTACCGAGTACCCGACCACTTTTACTGGGTACCCAGTGCGGATAATACTCATTTATGTTCGATAGATCTTATATTTATTATTATAGCAATTTGTAACCTTTAACGTATTCATATATTTTTTGACATCCATCAGTTTTTTAATAATCAAGTTGAAATAAGTGTTTAGGCACGACATATTTTACTTGGCAGAATTTTAATTCCGGGAAACCTAAACAATATTTTACCGGGTACCCATGTGAGGGTAACATTCATTCAACTCAACTATATTAATTCAGAATTATAACTATTAGTTACCTTAAAATTATTCATATACGTATATTTTGAAATCTGTGTATTCCATCAGTCTTTTAATAATCAAGTTGAAATAAGTGTTTAGGCACGACATATTTTACTTGGCAGAATTTTAATTCCGGGAAACCTAAACAATATTTTACCGGGTACCCATGTGAGGGTAACATTCATTCAACTCAACTATATTAATTCAGAATTATAACTATTAGTTACCTTAAAATTATTCATATACGTATATTTAGAAATCTGTGTATTCCATCAGTCTTTTAATAATCAAGTTGAAATAAGTGTTTAGGCACGACATATTTTACTTGGCAGAATTTTAATTCCGGGAAACCTAAACAATATTTTACCGGGTACCCATGTGAGGGTAACATTCATTCAACTCAACTATATTAATTCAGAATTATAACTATTAGTTACCTTAAAATTATTCATATACGTATATTTTGAAATCTGTGTATTCCATCAGTCTTTTAATAATCAAGTTGAAATAAGTGTTTAGGCACGACATATTTTAATTGGGAGAATTTTAATTCCGGGAAACCTAAACAAAATTTTACTTGGTACCCATGTGCGGGTAACATTCATTCTACTCAACTATATTAACTTAGAATTATAACTATTAGTAACCTTAAAATTATATATGTATATTTAAAAATCCATGTATTCCATCAGTTTTTTAATAACGGGGCTGTTCAAAAAGTACGTACACAAAAATGGAGAAATTTTAAACCCCCCCCCCTTCGTACATTACCGTACAAAAGGTCTTACTCCTCCTCCCTTATCGTACGTACATTTTATTAGTCTATCCCCCTTTTTCATAAAAATTAAAATAATTATGTTTAAAAAAAATTTAATATTTATTTAAGGAGTGTGTAGGAAAAAGTCAAATTAAAATTTGGTGTATGCTTATAATGTACGTACTTTGTATAATACCTCCCCCACCCCACCTTACAAAATAGCAAATCCCCTCCCCCCCTTCGGGATGTACGTACTTTCTGAACGACCCCAATAAGTTGAAATAAGTGTTTAGGCACGGCATATTTTACTTAACGGAATTTTAATTCCGGGCAATCTCAGCAAAATTTTATTGGGTATCCAGTGCCAGGTAATACTCCTTTATGTTCGACACAACTATATTCGGAATTATTAGTAAGCTTAATTATTCATTATATGTTTTGAAAATACACGTATTCATCAGTGTTTTAATAATGAAAGTGAAATAATTATTTCAGCGCAACATATTTTACATAGCCATAATGCTGTTGCATAACCAGCAAATAACATCACTGGTTACCGTTTTTGCTAGTTTTTGGCCAGTCTAATTAGTTGCTAATTATATGAGTTACTCTTTCAGGAAACCATTCAGTTGTCTTTTATTTCGTTTCATATAATAATAGCACAATAAGTTCTACGTTTATTTATTTTATAAATACATTAAATTTAGCTCAAATTACTCAATTCTTAAAATTATACGGATGATGATCCTAAATTAGCATGTTTAACCAACTTAAGTTCGTTCAGGTCTCGAAATTAGACCTTAAAAATCCTCATTCATTAACGATTTCTTTTTCATTCACTTAATGATTTCTGATTACTTAACAGTCGACCTTGAGCAAAAATTCATACAAGTGAATAAATTGGACTTAATATAATGTCTATATCAGTTACAATCACAAGACGTGTTCCTTAATGTGTTTGTTACCCAAGCAATGGGTGGGAGGGGGGAAGCGAACGATTAAAATTGTAAAGATATCATATTCTGAAATCAGTTTCTTCATATTCATTTGCATCTGGTGGTGATATCATTCATGCAGTCGCGTTTACAGCGATTCCAAGAAATTCATTCTTAAAATAGACACCGTATTATTGTTGAAAGAATTATGAATTCGGCGCAGACGATTTTTTTATAAGTCTGTCTAAACGGATTAGATCAATCGCAAAATTAACACCACTAGGAAAAAAAGGAAAAAGACATACAATGCAACTTGATACTGAACTACACCTGCTATGTAGCGACATAAATTCTAGAAAGAAATAAAATTTAAAAACAGTAAAAATTTTTTTTAAAAACGTAAGCATTTGAGAACTGATTAATAATTGATTTTATTTATTGTTTCTGCTGCCTTATTCAATCAAAATAAATAAAAAATAATAATAAGATATATATAAAATATTCATTAATTATAACTAAAATAATGAAAGATAAAACATTATTCTTTAGTTTGTTCCAAAAGCTGGTTCATATTTTGAATTAATTTTAAAAAATCAATGATATTAAAATAACTATGTAAATAGTTTTACTAAGAAAAGAATGTAAAGAGATTTTTCTTATATTTTAGTTCAGCGGTTGCTAAATGGTGTTCTGTAGAACCCAAGGGTTCCGCGGGAGTGTTATTAGGGTTCCGATAGTTATGGACTTTTTTTTTTTAAATCTAAGTAAAGATTTTGGAACTGATAATTATATTTAAATCCAATCAATAATCCATTATTTCTTTGATATTTTGGTTGCCTTTATAACATTATTTCAAAATAAATGTCAATGAAAAAAAAAATTTATACATAATTTTTCTAATAGCAATATATGGAATGACTTATGGAAATTACATGCATTTACAAATAATTAAACAAGTTTTCCCCCTTGGGCTATTTAAACAAAATAAAAGCAACTTAATTCACAAATAAAGAAATATGTCTCCCTAATAACCATTTTCACTGTTTAGAGCAGTTTTTAAATTTTCGATAGAAAAAGAAAGAAAACAAAATAATTCGACTTCTTCAATTGTTTTCAGGTTGAACATTAAAGACTGATAATTACTATGCTGACTCAAACTTCCAAGACAATGAATTTAAAGTCAAACATAAAATCTGATTTAAGAATTTTTAAAGATAAAATTATTTTAAAAAAATCATTTCTAATTAGTCTCAAAACAAAATAGTATTTATTAAAATAAAACGTCCACGATTATCTTTATATATTCTATTTAAAAAATGGGAATTCCGTTGAGAAAAATAAGTTTGATCATTCAGGATTCCATAGCCGAAAATTATTGGGAACAACTGTCTTAGTTCACGTAAAGCGAGAACTACATTGGTGCTATAATTAATTGAATATATATTCATACATGCAATTTTAATTTTATTTTTAATCCTTATTTTTTACTGTTTAAGTAACGAAAGACAGGAAACGTTAGTTCATTATTATTTCCTCTCACTCTTTTTTTTTAGCTAACAGCAAAAGTTAAAAACAGCTCTTTAATTTTTTATCCTAATCATCGTTTTTGTTATTTTAATTAATCACAGATGTTTTATATTTAATTTCTGGACCGACAGTAATTGTTCTATCCTTATTTTTTGGCCATTAAAAATGTCAAAATGCAAACAATTCAATTCATAAATTTTAATGGTAAATGCTTTTGCAAACTTTTTCCTGTTTAACTCCTTATAAATTGTGTAAATTAAATAGAAACACCTCTATTTTCAAACAATCAAACTAGTTTGATGCCTCATACATACAACTTTCCTCAGTAGTGATTCGGTAGCGCTTTCGTTATTTTCCTTGCTTATATTTGCGACCTCTGTTGAATAACTTCAGGAATTAAGAAATGACTGGCTTTTTTTTAAATTTTTCTTGACAAAAAGAACTTCGATATCACCCTTAACAAAACAAATTGTGAATTGCCACAAGCATTTATCATAAAAAGCATGTTCACTTTAAAGAACTTACAAACAATGAGCGAAGGAAGCTTTAAATAATATTAATGCCTCTTGGATACTGAATTGATTATCAAGTTATCTTGGACGAAGGCAAGTTTTGTACTTGGTGTAAACATCAATTAATCTCCGTCATCCAATATCTTAACACATTTGATAAAGAGAAAAAAATAAATAATAAATAAAAGCTTTAACATTCTAGTATTATGGGAGACGTGTTAGAGTTTTAAATGTTTTCAACAGTTATTCATCACTGTCAAAAGGTTAAGTCGCATAGTGGAAAATATTATCTTGTTGTGTTATTGACTTTGTCACTAACCAGAGTTCCAACTCTAATGGTTTATGAGGCGCAAGGAGAGGAATTTGTAGATCAAAATACTTCAACAAGAAGATAATTAATTAAAATTTGTAAAAAAACAGCACCTACCTCTCACGAACACTGATTCAAACGAAAATTGATTATGAGTTTAAAAAAAAATTATATCAATTGCTTTTTTTTATTTTTAAATTATCGGGTAATTGTCTTCAAACCCAACATATATACAGAGTTCTGCACTATGATCACCCTTAAAGTATATTTTTATAATCCTTGTCAGACATGAAGTCAAACAGTGTACAAACCCAGTCTTGTAAATCCTAGGTTTTGTAGGTAAAACGAACCAAATTGGCTTAGAAAAAGTCAGAAGTATGCTTTAATATGATTCCATTTCTACATTTAACAAAGCGTTGGCTGCTAGAGATAGGAGCTGCCAAGACACATAGGTTAATCATATGTTTTACTGGTAAAAACTATAATTCACCAGACATCGAATTTGTACAGTTTTTACCTTAAAAAGTCTAGTAAATCCTAGTTTTCACTAGTAAAACCTAGTTTTTATCTG